TGAAAGCTCTAAGACCAAACCATTCAGCTCAGAGAACAAACCTCTATCAAAATCATCTACCTGAGCTACAAATCTTCTCCACCATCTCATTATCAACCATAGCTGGCGCCTTTTCATGTTAAATAGAGTAAAGGATTTTCATTGGTGAATTCCACAATGACTGATCCCCATCTATTTTTGATTTGAATATGCTACTTTTTTATTGTCATGCTAATATTCCTTATCTTTTCTGACTAACCTACTGTCCAATGATTTATGTCTTAAATCATGCACCAAGTTCACTAGTCCAACTAAATTGAGTACCCTGCTTCATCTAGAAACAGGATTAATAACATCCACAGACATGTTCTTTTTAGATGACTCCACATATGTTCTTGAATATTGACAGACCAAATAATCAGTTTATTTTCAAGATAAATTTCAGTTAGTGAATATTTTAATTATTACACTGGTTGAAATCATGATTCAATTGAAGCTAGACCACCATGGAAAACCTGGAAGCACTGGACGGCCGTCTCTTCTTGGCATGGGACTCCTCAGCAGTGCGCATCCACAATCCCGCACCCCGTGGGACTCGAACCCAGGACCTACTGGTTTCGCGCGCGAGCACTGAGCCGGCATCCAACGGCGTTAATGTCTAACTTCAACCAATCCACGAAGTTGCGCCACCGTACACCATTATCTTCAGTGAGTTCCTATCTCACAACAGATCTGGTTGAACTCCCCTGGTAACGACTTCTCACTAGAACTCCAGGAGTGTCTCCTGAAGTCAGTCACTAGTGAGCAGGTGATTATTATTATCAGAATGGGTTTTGTGGAGATTTCCAGTGCTTCCAGGTTTTCCATGGTGATCTAGCTTCAATTGACTCATGATTTCAACTAGTAAAATTTCTAAAAATCTCCACAAAACCCATTCTGATTTTAATTATTAACCTACCTATACACTATTACTAAAATACAGTTTATTATTCAATAGAATTTCATAAGTTAGAAAGAATCAAACGTTTTATGTTCATTAATTTCTTTTTCATCAAATATCATTAATATTTAATTTCATTCCAGTTTTTTTTTAATTATTATGAAGGTATTGTTGATACTGGCCTGTTTATCAATATGACAAGTAGAATTTATATTGGTAATTTGAATGGTACAGTGACTAAATTGGAAGGGAAATCATCTAATCAACATACGTTAAACAATATCAGTAATTTCTAATTGATTATATACCTACCTACCTACCTATCTGCTATTGATTTACTTATCCTATTTTGCTCTACTTTCACTCAGGGTTTAAATTAATTATCATTATTATTTTGTTTTTGTATTGTTTTGTTGCTTTTTCATAAATACAAAGAAAAGTACTATTCGTTGTATATTTTATTGTCATTCCACTTATAATATCTAGTTTCTATGTTACATAGTTGATAGTAATATCGACAAGAAACACTGATTGACTTAGGTCTCATGTTAGTTGACATTGACAGACATGGCGTACTTGCTATCTTAAGGTTAGGGTTTCAGATCCGAATCATCCAGTTTAATTGTTTGAGATGTTATCCACTGATCTATTCAAGTCAAGATTCATATAAATTTGCTTATATTATCATCAAGTTCACCGGAGAGAAACAAATAAAACAACATGGAAATATTCAAAGCAATTTGGTAATTATTACAATGATTCAAGATAATATGTTCACTATTTATAAAATGTTAAAGATTATTGATAGCATTGAAATTTATGTTAACGAGATTTCTAATTCATGAATACTGTCATTCATAGTCTATTGATTGTTAAGTTTAGGAATTTTAGAGTTTTGTTCAATTTTCAATTAGCAATTCAAACTGAATTAATCAATCCTGTTGAATAAGAAAAAGAGAATTTAGCGAGGAAATTTTTCTTTTCGACAAAATCATTTACTTAAACTGTACATTCGTGTATATGTAGCCATATGGAAAATGTATGTCTATAGGAGGATAGAAAAAATTGCATCACAAAAATGGATTTAAAGATAAATAACAAATGAGGTTACGTACTAATCAAGGGGTAAGGAAGAAAATCGTTTATAGGTCAGATAATAGGTCCAATTGACAGGTATAAAGAAGGAACGACAAACATAAATGGCATAATAATAATGATAATAATCAGGCAAACTTCTATGAGGTAATAATAATAACTGATTAGAAATTAAAGTTGTAAAACAATAATTTTAAAAAATCAATAATAATCGAATAAAAGTGAAGAAGAAAGGAGAAAAACCTGAAACATAATGATAAAGGAAATTAGGGCGAAGAAAGGATGAGAGGTTAAACGAATCGTTTCTGATATTTCACAACCCGTTAAAAACCATATCAATACATGCAACTCTCTTGTTTCCTTTGACTTGGTCGACTCAAATAGAAATTATCAATATAAATGGTAGGAGAATGATCTCATTGGATTTCACTTCTCTTTTTACAAATGTTCCTCTCACAGAAACTATATATTTTTTATGTGACTATATTGAAAACAATAACCTTCATGTGTATCTCAAAACATCTAAAAGAGTTACTTCTACGATGTACTCTCAAGGTGCAAATTAGATTGAATGATGATCTCTATAGAAAAACAGATGGAGTTACAATGGGTTCTCCATTGGGTCCCCTCTTGCCTGGTTATTTCATGACCAATCTGGAAAGTACGGTACCTCAACCAATAATTGAGAGATTTCGTTTATACAAGTCATATATGGATGATACTTTCATTATTTGTGAATAAGACATGAACCTCAATGAAATTTTGAGTAGTTTCAATAATTGTCACCCCTCAATTCAATTCACTTTGGAAGCACAGGCAAACAACGAATTTCATTTTCATGATTTCCGACGAAATAAGGCTGGATGGTTTTTTACAGGAGTATATATATAGGAAGCCAACCTGGAATTGGCAGTGCACGAATTTCCATAGTTGGGTCCCACCGAGTAGAAAGAGGAACTTAATTCACTCTTTATCCTCAAGGATCAGGCGAATATGTTGTACCTATGTTCTACGCTATGTTTACTGATGTAGGAGGTTAAAAGCTAGAGAGACTGCTTCATCCTAATTCTAAGAGATACACAAACCCACATGGTGATGATTTCTCCATCGAATGAAGTCAGTTCATAATAATAATTATTCTCCAATTAGCCTGTTTGAATTCTTGTGAAGTCGGTCTTAAATAAGGGATTCCATTGATTTCTGTTAAATTCTTGTCATCAAAACTTGTATGGTTTGTTTGTGAATTGGAATTAATAGCCAATACAATTTTAACTACAAGTCAACGTTAAGAAACTGACATTACATTGTATCGAGAAAATATATCAAATAACTAAGTTATTTATTAGTAATTGGTTCGCTCCTCCAGACCATGATTACATTTAAAAATAGATTGTAATAGTGCCATGAAGGACCATGTGATCAATTAGGTTTTACTGTATTACTGCCAACTGGTTGATTGGAGTTCGATTTTCTATAAAATTCTATCTAATGTGTATGGTTAAGATTGGGACGACCAAACCCTGTGTTGGGATTTGTGTTTAGCCGGAGGGTACTTTGTGTATTAGGTGGGGTACGTAGACTAAACGTGGATGGGGAGAGTTGAGAAAGAGAACGAAAGGAAATTCGGGCACAATGATCCAGCAGGCGCATAAATGCACTTACATTTAATTACAAAAGAAAATCCGGAAACAGAAACTACATTCAGATGGTGTGAAGTTTCCAACGCACCACACCCTGGTACAAATAAATTAGTAATACATGTTAGAAAATATCAGTATGATTCATATAAACAATTATCTAAGAAGCTTCTTGAAGTTTGTCTAATAATCATTGGACATGCATTGAAAACGGTTACACAATGAACAGCATGATACTCCGTTTATTTCAAGTTATCATACTCATTTTCATTATGTTCCTGGATTTTTTCCGAATCTCCTCATCCAGCTGTGCAGTATAGAAAGTAATATTATCTGCTTTTATTATCACAATGCTTTATGAACGTTTGTTTCCTTAGTTATTTATACATGTTTTCATCCAAATTCTCATTGTCATCCTATCACCGTTCAGAATAAATCTTGTTCACAATGAACCTATACTAAATAACGTCGGGAAAGAATCGGTTATACCTTCTTTTTTTTAACTTCTAGTCTTCCCATACTGTCTATTGTAGCTCATTTTCTAACCATAAAGAAGAAAATAATGATAAAAGAGTTTAACGACATGCTAATTTTGCAATACATTTATTGTTAGACTAATCAATAGTGTTAGGAAAAAGAATTTATTGTTTCATATATATCAACTATCAATTATTAAATTTCCATTTTGATTGAGAATGAGTAGTAGAACCGAGGTAATAGCCTACATTAAATAATAAATCAAGCAGTTTCATTGAACCAATGGTACATATCTACTTCTCTTCATAGATAACTACAAGGGCGGCCTGCTTGAGCATCTGGGCTACCTGTTCCTGCCATCTAGATATTTCAACAAGTTATCTATTTTTGTTTGTTTGAATATATTATTATGTTTATTCATCGCATAACCTATTCTGCTGCGTTTCTGAAAAGTGTACAACCTTTCGTTGTCAAAGTTACAAATAACTCAATAAGAGACAATGTGGTTGCTGGCAATATACATCGAAAACAATGCACATTATTCAGATGTTCATTTACTGAACTGCTAACATCTAACTGGCGATCTTTTAAATATTTATCGCCAGGACCGACCAACAAGAAAGAAACGGAAACTTGTTGAAATACTTTACGCTGAGAATTCTATATTTTACCAAAAATATAATATTGAATAAAGCTGATGATAATAATAAAGTATATCCATAACGAGAATACAATTTTGGAAAGTATAGTATATTCAATAAAAACTATTTTACACATATAGTCTTGTTGTTGTTGCTGTTGTTTTTATTTGTAAATTACTGGGGATTCCTTCATTTGATGAAACAATAAACATATAAGAATTTCCTATTTAATTATATTAATCTAGGTGAATAATATAGATGACGTTGTGCTGAACATTGAAAAACTAATTTATCTAATACAAATATAATTTGTAATAGACAAATTTGATTACGTTCATTCAATGTTAATTCTGTCATCAGTTGATTGTCAATTTGATTATTTTCTGAATATGAATCTATAGAGATAAAACAAAATATTTGATAATGAATTACATTACTAGACTAGTAATATAACTGAATTGTAAATTGAATGGATAAGGATATTTATATCAAGATACGCAATGAATCTTTATCAGTCGTGACATGTGTTACTGGTGCTAAGCTACCGTCTTCTTCAATTGACAATGTATACTGATGTAAAAGTAAATAGAGGGTGGGAGACCTAAACTACGACTTAGTATAATGTGATGTTTGTGTGTAATAGTTTCGTGGTATATTATTCTGTGCTTGATTCGAACTCCAAATATACTTACAAGTGGCTTCACCGATTTCTCTTTAGATTGGATAATCCTAGGAATTACTAGTTAGCATATGAATTCGACTGCTACACTACTTATCATACATCAGTTTATGAAGTTGTTGATCTAAACCATGTTAGTAAATCGAGACTACCACCTGATTAGTGTGAGCGTGTTAATCAATACCAGTGATTGGAGATGTGCAACAATATAGCTCGGAATTAATTTACAGTGGCGTAAGTGTATTCACTTTTTGTCTCAAAATACTTATATATATATTTTATTGTACTAATTCATTATTTTTTCCCAAATCATATTGTTTATGCTTAAAGTCTTGTACTACTACTACTGATACAGTTACTATTTCTACTACTCTGAAATTTATATTTACGATTTATTTCGCTGTGTTGATATAATATAAGTGCTTCCAGGTTTGCAAAGGTGGTCTAACATCAATCAGTTCATGATCTCAATCAAAAACATAATAATCTCTACAACCCCTATACTAGTAATCAACATGTGCTCATTAGTGACTAGCTTCGTGAGGGAATTCTCGGAGTTCTAGTGAGAAGTCGTGATCAGTGGAGCTAATCCATGTCGGGTAGAGACAGGTATCTACCTCAGTACAATGGACGTTGGTCGCGCAATTTCGTGGATTAGTTGATGTTGGACACTATCACCATTGGATGCCGGCCAAGTGGTCCAGTAGGTTAAGCGTTCGCGTGCGAGACCGAAGGCCCTGGATTCGAATCCCGCGAGCAGGATCGTGGATGCACACTGCTGAGGAGTCCCACAATAGGACGAAACGGCCGTCCAGTGCTTCCAGGTTTCCAAAGGTGGTCTAACATCAATCGGTTCATGATCTCAATCAAAAATATAAGAAGAACTGGAACTGATCTCAAGTTCTATTTTACTGATGATAGGATTACATTTTTTCAACTTATTAATCACTAACCCACGAAAAGTGTACGGCACAAAATTGAGTGCACGAACTTAAAAAAAAAACTACAGAATTATAATAATTTCATTAGACATATTATCAACTTCAAATCTAAAAAAATAGGAAATCGATTGTTGCCAAGTTACAATTGAGAAAGATCTACAAAGAGAGGATGAATTAATTATTTGTACTTTAGATTGGGATGATTTAAGAGAAGCTAAACATAAAAAGAATAAATTTTGACTATTGAACAAAGCAGTCAGTCAGTCAGTCAGTAACAACGTAGAACTTCGTACGTACGTACATCAGTTCGAGTTGCCACACCACATTAGCACAGAGATGCACTTGTCGATTCAAATCCCGTAGTGGTAGAGGTAATAAGAGTATAAGCAGTAATCGGGAAGATTAGGGTTTGGAGATGTTATTTAAAGAGTATAATCCAGTGAAAGAAATTTGGAAAGAGGAAAAAAAGGGACATGAAGAATTCAGAAGATTAGAATTTGGGAGAACACAGAGAGTGGATGCACCTGCGCCATTGCAAACGATTTTGAGCCATGTCATTCAGGGTCTCTAACCATCGGTTGCTGTCATCTCGCGGTCCCCAACCAGGTAGTCTACACCTACCAACATGACTCAGTTCACTTGTCAGTGACTTCATGGACTTGTGCCATGTTTTGGTTTGGCCGCCCCTAGCTTTCTTCCAACCTACTCCTATACCACTGAACATAGCACGTCGAGGCAGTCGGTCGTTGGGCATACGTAACACGTGTCCCAGCCATCTCAACTGATGAAGTTTCACTACTTCATCAATTGATTTGCCATCCTTACCTAGTACCCGTTTCCTAACAACTGTGTTACTTACTCGATGGTCCCATGATATATGAGCAATGTTTCGAAGACACCTATGATCAAATACTAGTAACCTACGGATATCCTCTACTCTTACCGGCCATGTTTCACTGCCATAAAGTAGGACGGAACGAACTGCTGCGCAGTAAACACGTCCTTTGGTTGATAGACGGATATCTCGCCTACGCCATAAATGACGCAAGTTGGCAAAAGCTAGTCGAGCCTTCTGTATCCGTGCTGAGATTTCGTCACACACTAAACCACAAGGGCTGATGAGACTTCCAAGATAAGTGAAGCGGTCGACACACTCAACTACTTCACTCCCTATCACTAGTTCGGGTGTCGATGTAACCCAATCCTGAAGCAACATTTTGCATTTCGAGGGAGAGAATCGCATCCCGAACATGCTTGCATTGTTGCTTAGAGTGGTCAGAAGACTCTGCATTTTGTCAGTGTCTTCACCAAATAAAACTATGTCATCAGCATATTCTAAGTCAACAAGTGAACCTCCTGGTAGAAGTTCAACCCCTGTAAATTTAGATGAGGAGAGTGTTATCTCTAAAAGTACGTCGACCACAAAGTTGAACAAGAATGGGGAGAGTGGACAGCCCTGACGAACACCACTTGAGGTGATCAATTCTGATGACAGTTCGCCATAAGCTCTCACTCGACCAGTTGTGTTCGAGTAGAGAGCCTTTATAAGGTTAATGTACTTCTTTGGTACTCCTTTCAGTGACAAACACTGCCATAGAACCTCACGATCAATCGAGTCGAATGCCGCCTTAAGGTCGAGAAATACTACCATTGTGGGGCGTCTGAATGTGTGTCTGTGTTCTAGAACCTGACGTAGTGTGAATATCTGATCTATACAACCACGTCCAGGTCGAAAACCAGCCTGGTTTTCTCTAGTCTGCTCTTCACGAGCTTTAGTTAGGCGTCGAAGTATTATTGAAGCTAATATTTTAGACACTATATTAGTCAAACTGATTCCTCTGTGATTGTCACAAGAGGACTTTTGTCCTTTCTTAAAAACTGGCACAATCAGTGATTGAGACCAGTCAGATGGGATTACGTCCAGTTCCCAAATTCTACCTAAGACCTCAGTTAATCTCATTGCTAATACTGGACCACCATCCTTAAAAATCTCAGGAGTAAACCTGTCAGGGCCTGCTGCTCTCCCTCGTTTCAGATTTCCTATGGCTTTTTCAACTTCGTAAAGGGACGGAGGACCTACATTAACTTGCCATTCAGGTTGACTGGAGATCGTGGGAAACCGAAGTGTGGCTGAAGGCCAGTTGAACTGATCCCTAAAGTGTTCTGCCCATCGATCCAATCTCCTGGATTGAGAATGAATAATATGTCCATCTTTCTCTGAGATTGTTTCGCTAACGGTCGGGTTCCTAATTCCGGTTTCCTTAACGAGTCTGAACAATTGTCTGCTATTACCTATTGCCGCTGCCTTTTCCATCTCTCTTGCTTTCGCTACCCACCACTGTTCGCGATCATTGCGTAGACTTCTTGTCAGCTTGCGCTTAAGCTGACTCCGCTCTTCATTATGTTCAGAGCCAGGTGGAATGTGTTTCCGAGCATCTATCAGTGAGATAGATGCTGCTGAGATCCAGTGTTGCTCCCTAACCTTCTGGTTTACCTTACTAGCAGATATCACTGCTGTTTCCACAGCTTTTCGGATATCATTCCATGCTGCATCGGGGTGGGCATCACATACATGGCTGCCTAACTGTTTTCCTAGTTGTTCCTGAAATATACTCTTAGCTTGACTATCATTAAGTAGGGCCCTAAGAGGTTTCCTTGCAGGATCTTTCCTACGTCCAGTAAGACGCAAGCAAATACGCGCTCGCACTAGAGCATGATCTGAATCTAGGCATGTGCTCCAGAATGAGCGACAGTCTTCTATCGAGCCCCTCCATCGGTGGCTGATAGCGATGTGATCCAGTTGGGTCCAACGTTGGGACGAATTAGGGGGTCGCCATGTTAAAAGATGTTTTTCCTTATGCTTAAAGTTAGTATTTGCAAGGAACAGGCGGTTATCTGAGCATAGCTGCAACAGACGGTCGCCATTATCTGTTCTTTGAGCCACGACACCATAAGATCCACCTAGGTGTCTTTCCTTATCGCTTAGTTTGCCTACTTGAGCATTAAAGTCACCGGCCACTATTACTACATCCGAGCGCCTAGCTTTTCGGAGAAGGTCCGAAAGCTTTCTGTAAAACTCATCTTTTACATCATCTGAGCTGCAGTCAGTGGGAGAATAGGCAGAGACGACGAAGAGGCAACGACGAGTGTCCCTATCTTTCCGGATTCTTACTGTTCCGTTCAGTCGGACAGCGCACAAACGACTGTCTATTGGGATCCACTCTAAGAGAGCTAGTTCTGCCCTAGGACTCAATGCTATACCTACGCCGGCGAGGCCACGGGAAGCAGAATCAGGGCTTCCAGATACACGAAGCGTAAATCGAGTCGGTTCTTTATTTTGGCATGGTGAGGTCAAATGAATGACGCTACTTGGATCCTGTATGCGCGTTTCGGAGACGCAGCACACATCGATGGCGCGAGATTCTAAAGTTTTAGCTAAGGAAGCCTGCTGTCCTATTTGGCAAAGTGTTCGTACGTTAAAAGCTCCTACGTGTAGTTTAGAGCGTGGTTTCAGGAGACCAGGAATGGCGTTCCACGTACTCGAATCGTTTGCCCTAGCGGTGCGAGGTGATAAAAAGACGTGAGGAGGGTTAGTCGGGAGGATAAGAGAAGTATTAGGAGGTGTAGGAAGGATTTGAATGTGACCACCTTGGTCTCTTGTGCTGTTACGGGTATGAGGGCTGATGTCACTTCCCGGCTGCCCACACCGTGGAAGGGTATTTCTTGAGGAACCTGAAAAGGAAATTGGATTAGTGTTGGTCTTGACGACCTGGGAGCGTGACCGCAGAGCCCAAGGGACAACTGCTTGAGGCCGGTCGCGCACGGCCTTTTTGTGGAAGGTTTTTGACGTGTTAGCTCCGTTCTTCAAGGGGCCTTACCGCCGGAGACGGAAATCCGTGAGGTAAGGTGAGGTGTGCATTTTTAGGGTCGACCTTTTCTAACCCCACCCCTCCTTGTGGGAAGGCAGCATCGCTGTCATGCTGGTTGTCCGAGGGAAACACCTTACTGCTGTCACACCTCTCTACAGTCAGCAGTACGACTTCGCCCTCAGACCTTGAGTTGCTGCTTTTAGTCTTACCGTTCGCCAATCGACCTGCCTGGCATGGTAGAACCTGCAGGAACATATGTTCCAGCCAATATAGCTCGGTTGGGTCATCACGATAGGCAAGCCCGATCACCGCGTCAAGGTAGCAGCTTCGATCGGGATTGAACAAAGCAATTATGAATGTAAATTAAAAATTACAGTCTAAACGTTTTGTATGACGCCTATGGATATTACTACAACAACTACTGTTAAACCAGTTGAATAAAACAAAAATCAGCGAATAAATGAGTTGTAAATTTGGTGTTTCAACCAAACAAAGGGAAACAAAAGAACCATACAGATGAATATAGATATATTTGGTCACAACTTGTAAAGTATATATTCCAAGGGAACTTTAGTCAACTTTTCCCATTTCTCAGTTGTTGTTATTGATGTTAAGGACTCCAACCTATTAGTTTGTACTAGCATGTGTAGATTTCCAATGAATTGCCTCCATACTACCACTTGGTCACGAGTGTTTATCAACATTTATTCGAGTCCTAAGTGAACATAAACACTGGGTGGTATGTACATCCAAACGACAAGTCAGAAATAGGATAAAACTTATGTCCTAGATTGCAGTGCTAGCCACCATTTAGCGTTAATCGAGACCCTCTCCATCCCTAGATGTATACCTTTAATATTGCATATCCTCATCAACCTTAAGTTCCGTGTGTGTTACGACCGAGTATAATAATTTTATATGCAACCATCTCCACTCCTATTCCGTACAACAGTAGAAATATTTTGTTGATACTATTGATGATACAGGAAGTTTAAAACAATTAGTCCCTTTGATAAATTTCGATAATGCAATGAGAAGACGTAGTTTATCAGAATTATGATAAACTACGTCTTCTCATTGCATTATCGAAAGATACAGGAAGTATGTTACAAGACCTGAAATGGAGGTCAAGGTCACATATTGATACACATGCACGCACACACACACTACATTCAAAGTCTTAATTATACATTAGACACTAGAAAGTTATGCAAAACAAACAGACAACAACAAAATAGTTTTATTTCATATTATGATTAAACGACATTCCTTTCAAAGTAAATAATAAATTAGCACAATATTGACCGAAATATATCAACTTATTATCATTTATTCATTCCATAGGTGTTTACTTGTTTAGTTTCAATTGTTGTCCTTTTTAAATAATCAGAAGGGGTTTGTGGAGATTTTTAGAAATTTTCACAGATTGAAATCATGAGTCAGTTGAAGCTAGACCACCATTGAAAACCTGGAAGCACTGGACGGCCGTTTTGTCCTAGTACGGGACTCCTCAGCAGTGCCCATCCACGATCCCGCACCACGCGGGGCTCGAACCCAGGACCTACTGGCTTCGCGCGCGAGCACTTAACCATTAGACCACTGAGCATCCAACGGTGTTAATGTTTTTAAATAAACTAAATCTTGAACGCCGTATAATAAATGATTTATTAGTTGTATTAGAGTTTCTAATTAATAGGCACATATAAATAGTCATAGTAGGGCAAAGCACAAAGCTCGGGTAAATTCTCAGATTATAGACAGCACGACAAGGTGAATAACAAAAGAATCTAAATAATGTAGTACCAATGATCATGGGGAAGACTGAAACATTGAAGATATGGTCCAGAACAACACAATGAAAAGATATGTATTTTAAAAAAAGACAATGGAACTTAAGATTTAGGGTAAAACAAAGGGTGGATGCATCTGCACTATTATGATAGATTTTAAGCCATGCCAACCAACGTCTTCAATTATTGACAGTGGTCATCGCGATATCTACGGAGCCAGCTAGTTTAAATGAGATAAGATGGTTCAGACAAACAGTCAACGGACTGGTGTTATGTTTTGTTTCGGCCACCGCTAACTTCCCTGCAAATTATTTCTACACCAGATAATATCGCTCATCAGATTAAGTGAAAGTTAAGGAGAAGTTCTAAGCAATACTCTTGAGTAAATCATATCTGTAATCTTATTCAACCTGTCATAAGTACTAAACAATATTACATCGGTATGTGATATATATACATATAACTACTGATAAAATTTAATTCAATTTTAATCACCAAAATGGATTCGAGGATAAATAACAAATGAGGTTACGTACTAATCAAAGGGTGTTAAGTATGCAGAGGAATATACCAATAATTATCATGTTAAGTCGAATGGTGGCCTTGGACTTTAAATGTACACTCCCTATTGGTCGATATTTGTTTCACTTGTTAAATATTGTACAAATGTTGTTTTCTATTTTATGGTACGATGTGGTCTGTTTGGTTGGTATATAAACAGAGTATGTTTGAAATGTAATGATTCATATCTCAGAGGCTGTGACTTGCGTTCTAGACTCAACTGGCTGGGCTAGACAGGGAAGCGGGACTCTAGGTCGTTCATTACGTGTCTTCCGTGTCACTGCTAATCGATCGGTAAATACGCTGCGATCGACACGTTACAACAAAGGGTAAGGAAGAAAATCGTTTATGGGTCAGATAATAGTCCAATTGACCAGTCTGAAGAAAAGCGACAAGCACAAAGGTTATAATAACACACTGAATATTAATCAAGCAAGCTTCAAGAAATGAAATTCCTCGTTTGCCTCTGCTTCTAAGGTGAATTGAATTGAGGGGTGACGATTATTGAAACTTCAAAATGTCATTGAGGTCCATATCTTCTTCACAAATAATAAAATTATCAAACATTTGTCTCTTATATAAATGAAATCTTCCAATTATTGGTGGAAGAACGGAATTTTTTAGATTGGCCATGAAACAATCAGCCAAGAAGGGACCCAATAGAGAACCCATTGTAACTCCATCTGTTTGTTTATAGAAATCATCATTAAATCTAAATTGCACGTTGAGAGTACATCGTGGAAGTAGTCCTTTTAGATAATGTTTAGGGATACATATATCAAGGTTGTTGTTTTCAATATAGTCACCTTTGTGTTTGTCACTTTTCTTCAGATTTGTCAATTGGACTATTATCTGACCCATAAACGATTTTCTTCCTTACCCTTTGATTAGTATGTAAACTCATTTGTTATTTATCCTCGAATCCATTTTGCTAATGTAATCTTTTCTATCCTCGTATAGACATATATTTTCCATATCTAACTATATATACTAATGTACAGCTTAAGTGAATGATTTCATCGAAAAGAAAATTTTCTTGGCTGAATTCTCTTTTTCTTATTTAATGACACTATGGGTTATTTTAATGATCAATTTGAATCATATTACAATCGATATCACGAGTTATAAGCAGTAACAAACAAATGAACAAAAATGATTACAATAACTGTAACAGTAAATAATTAACTTTGTAATACTCATATACCCAAGTACACAAGTTTAAATACAGTCATAACCAATACATGAAACACGTGAATTATACTCATTTTATGAGAAAAATATAAAGAATCCAAGGCAGAAACAATCGATAAGGTTAAAGTGAATTCCTATGACAAAACAATTCTTAACATGGCAATGTAAAGCTTCATTGAATGAAATCATGATCTGCCTATTCAAGAAGACAATTATGACATACGAAAAGTAAGAAGAAAAACTGAAAATATTGACAGACAAAGTTTTATGGATTTGATAATCACAATCTATAGGATTCTATATTTTACACATCATAGACCAAAATTAGTTAGTTCAACAAACCAGTGAAAATTACGAAGAACTAGATACAGATATTTTATTCTAGTATGAAATTACTATTAATCTCCCACAGTACACATCCAAGAACCCAATGAGAATCGAACCTAGGAGTTTTAGGTCTCTTGGAAAACGTCTAAACCTATGGATCACTCACTACTGTTGAGTCGATCAGCAAATAATAGTTTACATTTGATCTATGAAATTCAACAATCTATCCCCACAATACCTTATAATCAAAATACGGAAGCGGTAGCTCATATTTGTTTTAGCTATTGACCTGAGTAATCACAAATTCAAAATCTTTAAATAATTTACCAATTATTATGTAACCAAATATGGGAGTGGTTATGGCAAACATGTTAGTTGTTGTAGAATTACAAGATGGGTGAAACGGGATCGAATCCGTCATGGAGCACCAGTTCCTTCAAGATTACAGGCACACCTTGCTGACGAGTGTCAAGTAGTACGAAACCCGGGTCCAGGGTTTCCTGTTGACTACCTCCAACCACCATTTTAATTGCGAATATATACAATTTGGATACAAGATATTAGAATTTGGAACACTGATAAAATTAACCCAAAACCATTACATTGAACTAAAATTACAAGAAAGAAATTAATGTAAATCTATTCAATTGAACTCAAAACTACACTTACTTGCTCTTAAAGTTTCCAATTGACAAAGCATATATGATCGTGAATCATCTGACAGTGTAGAACTAATCATTAAACCAACTGATAATAGAAGACGTGCAATTATAGGCGCTAAATTTGGGAATGCACTACCCAAACGTAATAATGAAGACAAACATTCATATAATAAACTTGATCGTTCTTCTGCACTGACTACCACTAATATTTATTGTGGTACAAAGCAAAGAGATAAAATTTAAAAAGAAATGATTATTATTTTATCACATGATATTTATAACGTTTCAATGAAATGAACAATACAATAGTGATTACGTAAGTGGTTGCTTAATTCCTTCGTATTGGTTGTTTGAATCTTCTCATTAATGTTCAGGACTGCAAATGATCAATCTCTTTTCGCATGATCAATCCAAACGAATTAAAATTCAAGTCGTCGTGCAAGACAGTGGCTACCTAGACTCAGAAGTTAAGTGAGTAACGTGGTAGCGTTTAAAGGGTATGGTACTGGGTTTGAGTCCCAGGGAGAGTTTCAACTCTGAGATGCAGGTACGTCCAACTGAAGACTCCCAAATAGAACGAAACCCGCGTCCTGGATCCCAGTACTAGCTACCATCTGACTCTGTTTATAACGATTCATTGATATTTTCGATTGTTATTCATTTAGTGATCGATTGTCAGTGAATGTAACATATCAATGGTTCAGGTATAGTCTTTTGAATAGTTATTAGCTGGTAACTTCGAATCAACGATTGGTCAGCATCCTCACAGTGTACATCCTAAACTGATTTAATTTGGACATTCCTTAAAAACCAGGAAGTACTAGGGAGTTGTTTCAGCATGATATAGGACTTCTCAGGAGTGTGTATTGACGACCCCACCTAAGATTTTCAGGTCATTCAATGACTGATTAACCTTAAAATCATTGAGCCAACGTCCAATAGTTAACATGTCTAATGGCAACCAATCTGCAATAATGCTTCCTGACTTTCCGTGGTCGTTTGACTAAGATTAGCCCATGATGTAAACTATGAAGTCCAAAAACTTCCACAAGTTTACCATACTAATAATCTTCAGTATTCCATTCAGCGTTTCAACAAACAAAATATACTCATATACAATCCAAAACATTCAATCTATTTTATAAACTTAATTTGAAACAGTAAAGTCAACTATACACTACAATAAATAAAACCTCACACTACACAAAACTGTAATCAATTTATTCGACAACAAATTTAGGGGAATAAATAATTAGAATGAGATGGAAATAAGCAATATTAAGAAGACTGTGAGTGAATGAGGGATAAATAATTATAAAATAGTAAGCAGCTCGACAAAATATCGAGATAACTATCATTATATTCATGTCATGGACCGATGATCTAAGTTAGACCAACATGGATCAGTTAGTGATTTCAATGAAACTCAACAATTCACAACTCTATAGTTACATATATCATTATACTTGAACATGAAGAATTACATCATCATCTAGCATCTATAACAATTAGTAAGGTTGAACTTCTTCCTTCTATTTAGTTCAACAATCAGTAACTCTATGAAGTGATAAACAAAAATAATATATTTGTAATAGAAAAATCAAATTTTCTGACGTTTCGTGACTCAGTGTAAGCCATTTCTTCAGAGTATAAATAACCAGGTTAAATTAACCCAAGTTTAAATAGTACAAATGAACAAAGCAAGTATATTAGGTGTGATCAAACAAAAACATGTCTGACCATGTCAATGTTATGTCATTCTGGGTCAAGGTGATTTATATGAGACATGTTTGTATTCGTGTGTGTGTGTGTGTACGGTTGGTAAGGGGTGAAAAAGATGTGATCTTTGTGGTGCGAATGGACAGAATTTAATTTGTATGTACTATAATAGTGTGAAATGTGAATAGAATCAGACATAATGGCTTAGACAGATAGCCCAAGTCGGATGGATAGTGAGACCTTCTTTCCTATTGAGAGCAGTAGGATTAAGCAATATATGAAAAGCTTCAGCTATTCACATTTCTTTATAGTTGGAAAAGGCTTTTTGTATTATTTTGATGTTTTTGATATCGATTTAATGATTGTTGAAAATGGCACGAACTGCTATTGAAGATTTAATTTGCAGTCTTTCCAGTTCTACAAGATTATTAGGTGGTTTCTTTGTGTACTTAAAATGTTCTTTGGTTCGAGATGACTATCCAATATACAAGGCATCATAATCTACACATTCTAATTTGTAGACACAATTCTGTCCTAACATAAATGAGATTTTAAGAGGATTCATTTATTTCGAAGGATATTAGTTGTTTTGTAATACACTTTGATTTGTGTTGTATTACATAACCTTTATCATTCTAATTTCTAATTATTATCATCAGTCAGTTAAATGTAACAAACTACCAGAATAAGTTATAAATAAATAATATATTTTTAATATCTCAATGAGTAGAAAAATTAGATTTTCTGACGTTTCGTGACTTAGTTTAAGTCACTTCTTCAGAGAATAAATAACCAAATTAATCCAAGTTCTGGTTACAACTTACTCTCTGAAGAAGTGATTTACACTTAGTCATGAAACGTCAGAAAATCTAATGTTTCTACTGATTGGGATATTACAAATATACTAGTTAATTTATAACAATCAACCTAATGCTCAATTTATTCGAAATTATCAAATCAAACCTTGGTAATGATACCTAACAGATTAAGTGCCTTATGATCATTTATCATTGGATCATTATCGTTATCAATCAATTAACCAAATGGTCATTGTTCAACTGATTACTTCAATAGTTAAATAATAATTTCATAACAATTTGAAACAGTTAATTGTAACAATTATTACTGTCAGAGATTAGGTACGTATACAATTTTAATAATTTCAAGATGTTAAGATGGGATTAGCACATTTGATCCAACTTTAACTCCATGTGATTTTCTGTCCAGTATTACGTTTGTTTTTAATTAATCGTGTCAATTGATTAGTATAATATTATTATTTTATATTAATTTTATGCGGCTTTCGTTCATTATAATAAGTAGTATGACTTTTATATTTATGCGTACTTGTGTATTTCTTCGGCTTCGGTTAGCAAAGCCCGCGAATACTCTGGGAAGGTCGAGAGTGGGGAGAGTCAACTCTCCTTCTCGAAATGCTCTCACATGGCCACGCGTATATAGTATCTACCAGGGAATTCTTACTCACTGCCTTTTCGTGGGAGGGGGTGTTATTTACGAAATTGAGAGGACGAAAAGCGAATGTCTGGCGGTTGGTGGACATGGAGAGTCCATCTAGAGGAGTTGGAAAACCCTGATTCCAAACCAATGGTGCACATAGGTTCCATGATCCTGAGGGAACGAATATAATATGAACCTAGTGTTGGTCACCGGCTACCATGGGACTGCATCTCCTGACGTTGCCCCAATGCCTTGTGGATCAGAACTTTAGGTCAAAGGCTCGGGATGTGGCCCCCTAAGAAAATCACCTTCGGTTTGGGCACCCAGGCAGTATCCCATCCCTCACATAAACCGAATGATTTATGTATCGCATATGTATTTGGTGCCTTCTTGTACCAATGTTTATGTGTTTAAATAGATAAATAAAATCCATGAATTAACTCATTAAATATCAATGAAGTCTGTATTTTAATTAGTATTTAACTTAGAAGTTGTTGTATTTTTGAAGAGGTCAATAAAATCTTCATCTCCTATCAGTTTTTTTGGTTCCTCCCTTACGTCGAACAAATATCTCTACAGCTCTACACTAATAATGTGCTCACTAGTGAATCGCTAAAAGAGAAAATTTTCAAAGTTCTAATGAGAAGCCGAAACCCATAGATCTAAACCATGTCAGGTGTGAAGAAGGTATGCACTGCAGAAAATGGGAGTTAGTCACGAACTATCGTGAACTGATTTAAGTTAGACTTGTACATCATTGGATCCCCAGGCTCTAGAGGTTAAGTGTTAACGTGCGAAACCGAAGGTCCTGTATTTCGACTCCTACTTTGTGAAGGGTCGTGTGTGAATATTGTTGAGGAGTCCCACACTAGGACAATATATGGTCATCTAGTGCTTCCGATGATCGTTAAACTTAGATCAATTCCCATATTTCAGTGTCCTCCTATTTCAAGTGGTAATTTCTCGTGTTTATGCGAAGAAAAATGTAAATTACTGAATAAATTGAGTTTTGTATGTAAGTTAACTTAATTTGTCAGTTAATTCACATAGAAACAAGGAAAGTAAAACAAACAAAAAATGAAAATTTGGATTAAAAAAAAGCCGAAATAATAAATACTAATGGGTGAATGCAAAGAAAGTGAACAACAACAACAACACAATAATTCAAAACAAACAAATGAAGTTACTTAGTGAAATAATTTACATTAAAATAATAAATTAAGACCTGGAATTTGTATTTAAACCACAGTAATCGACTGACTATTGAGACAAATTAAATTCATTAAAGATTCCTAATTACAATATACAAACTAGAAATAAATTTTTTTGAAGTTAGCGAAACAACAACAACAACATCGAGAAAAAGAGAAAGAAAACGAAACCAAAAACGATATATTTACATCCCATTCTACTATTATCTATAGAGATGTAACACACTAAAAGATGTTGTAACATGAGACTGATATTATAAATCAGAAGAGAATTGGATTTTGTTTTTTGGCTATAAGATATCATTGCAATATATACAGATAGAAACACATATGGATCACAAATGTGAAACGATCTAATGAATACAATAGCTGAACAGTGTAACTAATATGAGCTCAGTTAGGTGAATTATATTGACCTATTACCTACTATTCTAAAAGTACCCGATATAAATCAATGACTTCTATATTATTTATGACCAACAGATTGTTAATATCAGCTCTAGCCTGTGACATATTGATTATACGATTTGATAGAGGATTTAAATTAGCTCATTTTAATGCGTTTATCAATGTGAACATATTTTTTACTAAAATTGTAATCGCATGTATTGATTATATTATATATTGATATTTTTTTTAGTTTTCGTCATGAACTGGCCTTCGTCAGACTAGCACCATAAAGAATAAGGGAGAGTTGGAGAGCTATTTCTCAATAGTGTAGTGTTCTTTATTAATGTGTATTTATGATTCTACTGAGCATAGAACCAGGGAATTTTAAGTCTCCCAGCAACTGCTCAGCCTTTAGAACACTGAATTGACATCCAATCGTTTACATTACTAACTTTAATCAACTCGAGATATTGCTCAACCATCTTACAATAGCATTAGCAAGTAAGTGCATCACATCCGACATGATTGAACTCCACTAGTCATGATTTCTCATAAGAACTTAGGTAATTGAGTCTCTAAATTAGTCACAAACAGGTAAACATTATGGAAGCACACTGCACCATACTATGATGAAAAGTTATATTGAGTGCTTCTTGGCTCTCAACGATTGTCTAACTTGGTTCAAATTCGTGATGTGAACCTAGGAAAAATGGAACAACTTTCTCCGCAAATCCCTCCATATCAATAATAGTCTTTTCATAATTAAACTTATCATACTCTACAGATAAATAACAATAGATCATAAGAGAAGTACTTATATATTATGATTCTAACATTAAAAATTTTTTATACACAAACCTGTCAAAAAGTGATATAATGAATCAATCATAAAAGCAGCACGATCCAGTGTCGCTTGAATATTATAATGTTGGGCTAGATGTGAAACTAAATCCAAGCAGAATACCTTAGAGAGAAAGTGAAAAAAAAGACCAAAAGAATGAATGTGAAGAAGAGCACTAGAAAGAGATTATGACAAGGTTATAAATAATAAAAAAATCAAATATTTGGATTAAATTGCAGCTTTAGAGATAGGAAATGGAAGATGGCTGCTGCTAGTCAATGAGTTAAAGTTTATTTCTAACTTCTTCAGGCATAATAGCTATCGTGGAATGCGCTTCTCTCCCTCTAAATGCAAGCTGCTGCTTCAACACCTGAACTAAGGATAGGGAGTGAGGTAGTCGAACGAGTTGACAACTTCACTTATCTTGGAAGTCTGATCAACCCTAATGGGTTGGTGTCTCGCGAAATCTCAGCACGGATTCGAAAAGCTCGTTTGGCTTTTGCCAACTGACGTCACCTATGGCGAAGGCGAGATATCCGTCTATCAATAAAAGGACGAGTATACTGCGCGGCAGTCCGTTCTGTTTTACTTTACGGCAGCGAAACATAGCCATTAAGAGTAGAAGACACTCGTAAGCTACTAGTATTTGACAACAGATGCCTTAGAAATATTGCTGGCGTCTGCTGGTATCACTGGGTAAGTGATAGTGAGGTTAAACGCAGGGTATTAGGGAATGATGGTAGATCAGTTGATGAGGTTGTGAATCTTTATCGACTGAGATGGTTGGGCCACGTGTTACGTATACCCGAACACCGATTACCACGACGTGCAATGCTATCCGGTATTGGAGATGGTTGGAAGAAAGTTAGGGGCGGCCAAACCAAAAAGTGACATCAGTGCTTGAAGTCACTAACCTCTAGTCTGAGCCATGTTGGTAGATGCAGACTACTTGGTTAGGGTCCGCGTGACTATCGTAACCAATGGTTAGAGACTCTTGGTGACATGGCTTGGAATCGATCACAATGGCATCGGTGTATACACTCTCGGTCTTCCCTTAAACTAAGAGATTAAAATCGCTTCATATCTTTCTTTCCACGGACTAATTCTTTCTTCCTGTACTATATCATGTGTAATATTTCTTTTATATATTGCTACCATTGAAGTAACTACTTCTATGAATCCGGTGTTCATCTTGTTGTGCTAATGAGTGAAGTGTGGCAACTTGGAGCGATGCATATATGTTTCTGGTCCTACGTTGTAGTTGACTGACTGATAGCTATTGTTACGTGGTTGGAGGTACTCGGCAGGAAGTCCTAGATATAAGTTTCGTGCTAGTTGACAATTTTCACCAAGGCCTACTTGTAGTATTGAAGGCATTGATGTTTTTTGTGACGATCGAGTCCGGCTTTACAGTTTGAGACGTTACTACTCAGCTGTTCGGTAACGTCATAAATTTCCCTCAATATTGCAAGTAGACCTTGCTGATAAGCGTTAACTAGCACAATACTTTAGTCTAAGGTGTCCTACCGACTACCTCTAACCATGAACTTACACATGAACATGACGCGTGCAATTTCAAGTCACTTATATTCGATCAATAAAGTTCGATTAGCACCAAAGGAACATGATACTGGTCGCTATGTAAACTTACTACTGTGTCAGAACTACAAATACAATACAATTGTTTAGCACAGAATAAGAGGAGTAGCATTAGATGATGAGTGGGATTACACTTGAGTTAGAGGAGCGTTCAGAAGTATATATCACCATCCATGGGGTGCTTACGACAGTTAGACTGCAAAGAAACATAATCCAACCAATATAAACTTTTATAAATATCACAATTTAACGTTTCTCATACTCTCCTCCCAAGTTCTCATTATACAACAGTATAGTATCCTATCTGATCCAATCAATATATCTTATTAAATCTCCCCTATCGGTTGTAAGTACCTGAAGAGAATACATGATGATATACACTTATGTTATTCCTATTTCATATCTTATTGTTTCCATTGAATTTATTTCTCATAATTCATAATTCAAAAAAAGAAAAACAATTTTATCATATGAGTTTAGATATGATTAGGTGCATAAAATCTACCATTATCACTATTTAAAAATTTCATCTAGAGTACAAATATGTAATGACATAATCATTCATTAATTCAGACAGATAAATGAGGCTAATAGCTTTCATGTTAATATATATTTGTGAATATTAATATGTTAAAGGTTACGGTTTAAAAAAAAACACGTCTAGGGCAGAAGGTTAAGCATAAACAAAATAGATTATTAGAATGTATGCAATAGTTCAATTTGTCACACTATGATTAACACAGAGAGATGGAATCATTAAGACATCGTAGAATAAGAATAAGTTTTTTTTACTTATTCTACTTCACTGTTACCATATTTAATAGAATTTTATTATGACTATATTGCCCCCGAATGCCCTGGTACGGCAGAGGGTGGGAAGAGTCCTCTCTCCCCCTCGAAATACTCTCATATGGTCACGTGGATACAACCACCACCTTCTCGTGGCGGGCGTGTTATTTACGAGATTGAGAGAACGAAAAGCGAATGTCCGCTCCTTAGACAGGGTTGGTGGATACGGAGAGTCCACCTAAGGGGGTTGGAAAACCCTGATTCCAAACCAATGGTGCAAATGGATTCTAGGATCCTGAAGGAAAAAATGGCAATGATTGAGATCATGAACCGATTGATGCTAGACCACTGTCGGAAACCTGGAAGCACATGATGGTTGTTTCGTCCTATTATGGAGCTCCTCAGCAGTGCGCGTCCAAGATCCCACTCTCGGGATTCGAACCCACGGCCTTCAGTCTCGCGCGCGAACGCTACAAACCCTGACTACATTTAGTGCGCAGATCTCAGACACAATATTTTGTACGTGTTAACAGAGCTCGGTCAAACTTTATGGACTAATCCTATATCTTGATTTGGTCGCTTCTAGGACGACAAATATCAAGACATTGAAAACAATAAAGTGAAGAAATGTTGATACGACGATTTCATTTTGGAAACGGCACACATAACAGTATTGTACATAAGTTTCCTTTACGGATCCTTTACACAATGTTGAGTTATCACTGGTCATAGACGATCGAAAATGTCAATAAAAGCACATAAAACATCAAAACCAATATTCTTATTAAAAAACGGGAAACAGAACTATCAGTGAAGCCGGTACCGTTCGAGTCCCGAAGTGAACATCAACTCTGCGATGTAGGTACATCCAGCTGAAGGGTCACGAAGAGGACGAAACACGCGTCCTGGATTCCACTGCTAGCCACCATCCATCTTTGCTTAAAAGCTTTCAGATTGTTATTTCATTTGAGCTTTAGAGATAAACAAGTGACAATTCTAGAAAAGCATGACCATTTAAATCATCGTAATTGGAATATATCAAGCAGAACACCTTATTGAACCTTCAAATATTTACTAGAAAATAACAATGCTAGCAATAGTATACAAATATGGGAAAAACTTGTAATACCGATTATAAAATTGATCCTAAGACATCAAACCAACAAAATATAATGTAAACCAACTACATTACTTAGAAACATTGTAAGTAGCCACATTAAACTAGCTAAACAATTCACCCGATCTGAACAAAAGGTGTTCAACTAAGCCACGAAGTAGATAACTAGTATAGCAATCTACCGTTCACATCGAAAGAAAAACCAATGACTTTAAATATTTAATGAGGGAATAAGTGGATTCTCGATCGATAGAACAAGTTGTTAGTCAACAATAGAGAAATTCCAACAACTTATCTTTCAGGTGCTGACTAGAAGGACAATGAAAGCCTTGGCTCATCATATGGGAAATGTAGTATTTTAATACTTTAAGAAGAGATGATAACCTATTGGATAAACTTACAACCAGCTTCTGTGTTACTTCTTTTTAGGTGACCACAGATTTTTTCCAACGTATACAAATGATAATTCTATAAATTGCAGAGTCAATGAAAGTCCTCATCATATATCAACTATTTAATAAGAATGAAACTTATAAAAACAATACAATACATGCAGTAAAACTTGAGGTAAACAAGATAGGATATATATATATATATATATATATATATATATATATATGACTATTATAGATATACAGATAAAATAGATTAATTAAAAGGTGTATAATTAGGTTTAACATATTAAAACTAACTTGTAGTCATTTTGGGGAAATTCCCATTCAAACATACATGAAATGACTTTAGACCAGATGTTTTAATGCATTGTAGTTTACATCATGAAATAACCTTAGTGAGACAATGATTGAAAACCAGAAAGCACTATAGAGCTATTTTGAGGTAGTATAGAACACTTTAGCAATCCTCATTCATGACCCTGTATGGAGTCGAACCCAGGACCTTCAAGCCTCATATAGATAGCTGAACTTCAAACTATGGAGTCACCAACTAATTGTTTACATTTCTAACACGAATCAATTGGGAGTACTGTGTCTCTATCTTTTAATGCCATTAGTGGTTAACCGCCTCGCATGTGAAATGGTTGTTTTCTAGCATGCCGAATCTCTGCAGGATTCAGATAAGTAATATTATAAATAACGATGTGTATTAGCACTCTATCCAATGTTCAATTTATTCAAAATCATTATGTCAAGCCATAGTAGTGATATCTACAAAGTAATACAACAGTTTATACTAAACAACTATTGTTGAAATAATTTTCAGGAATTTATTTCATCTGATTCAACTAAATTACCAATTAGTTCAGTTTTTCGAATTTAAAATACTTATAAGTGTGCAGCAAGCGAGTGAAAAAGAATATCTATGGTGAAGCGTAGATGACAAGTACTGTTTGAACTTACCATCGATCTGAATAACTATATATTCGCAGGGGCTGGTACCATGTCAAGCCCAGATAAGTTATTCTAGCTTATGGACAGGCCAGTTTATTCATTCATTTCGAGTCACATTTTGACCTTGTTAATTACTCGCTTATTCACCATGATTGTCTTTATATAATCGTGTGTGTGCGAATCGCTTGCCACCCTGTTGATGATATATATATATATGAAGAGAGAGAGTCACTCTTGGTTAAATCGAGTTGGCGGCTCACATCCCTTCT